GTGAGAGAGAGACAGAGACAGAGAGAGACAGAGACAGAGAGAGACAGAGAGAGAGAGAGAGAGAGAGAGAGAAAGAGAGAGAGGAAAGACAGAATAGCAGAGAGACTGACAGCCCTTCCTGCTAGGCGCACACGTGCCTATCACTGAAAAACAAAGCCCACCCACCACTGTGCTCGTGGGTCATGCTGTCCCATAAAAATATTTTTCTAAGAGAAAACAGGGAGGACTGTCCCAACCACATGCCTGAGGTGAACTGTTTTACTAATTTAGCTCCCTGGGGTAAAACTACAAAAATGACAAAAACAGCAATCTGGAAAAAGTGCCACCTCCCTTTTAAAAAATCTGTTAAAAAAAAAAAAAATAAAAGCCCATTCAGAGTCAGTGACCAGTTGTTCGAGAAGTCAGCCTGACCATGTAGCTGCTTTTTAAAAAATTCCAAAGAGCAAAGAGTCAGACACCCATTCTAATCTGGATTCTCCTCCCAAGTTGTCACATCCTTGAATGAGCCTTAATTTCCTCAGCTACAAATGAAACCATGAGACACAGTTATCTCATTGATTTCTTCCAGCCCTGGCGATCTGTGGTTCTGGGACTCCGCTTCCATTTGAAAAATGTGTCATTACCAAAGAACAGGAAAGGGCCTCTCCCAGTAACATGACTTGCATTCCCTTTTAGCAGATTGTCACTCACGTAAGGACAGAGAAACCACAGGACTCACGGGAGCCACAGCCCTGATTTTGAGAGCCAGACTTGTCTTGGCTTGACAGCTGCTCAGCTGGTTCATTCCATCAGCCTGGATCTGGTGAACCTGAATCTCCAGGTAAGAAATAGCTGACTTAAGCAATAGCGAAAGCACAGTTGATAACCACCATTTTTAAGGTGGGGAGCATGCGACGTGCATGCTTATGGAATAATTGAAAGTATTAAGGATGGTCATTTCATCAGATTTATCATCAGTGATTGGAATCCATGCCTCTTAACACCACATACATCTAAAAGGAAAAAAAAAAAGTGTGTAATTAATAATTGACATGCATTTCAAGGTCGCTGTAATTTTGAAGTGGTTAACGGTCCCTGGGTTCCATAAGTGCATTCTGAGTGGAAGCGTTGCTATCTTGAGACTTTTGAGTGTTTAGGCATGAAATAGAATAGCTTAGAACTATGTGCGGGAGAGCATATTAGCGCTGGAGTTTTAGGTTGCTTCTTCCTTGCAGAATCCATTTTTGGTTTAGGCCCAATCAAGGTTCCTTTCTGCCCATCCTGGCCATTTCAGTTTAGACGAGCAAGGGGAGGCATTTTTAAGCAGCCGGCCTGGGGTGGAATTTAGGTCTCACACCGAGGTCTCACTGGCGTCTTACTCGCTATAACATGCTTAGAGACGAATTTGGTTTATAAAGTTGTCATCTGAGACACTTGTGTTATCCAAGCTGCAGGTCACTATTCCCCTCGCCCTGTTCCCTCACGGCCAACACGTACCTTCCCTCGTCTCTCACCTCCCCCCAATCAATTAGGGACACTTTATCTACAAGGAGTAGGTCACATCTACTTGAACTTCTTTGCTGAGATCTGACATGAGCTGACATCCCTTCTCGATGACTAAGGCTCTACTGAGGGTTAAGCTCCCTGGACTCAGGGACCGAAATCATGAAGGCGGTGCCAGTATGCTGAGATGGCCACACACCTGTTACCCTTCGCTAGTTGCCGGTATCACCTGCTGTCCTCCCTCCCGAAGCTCTCTCCTTTTACATCCAGATGTCTTGAGTTTCCTTGAAAACTAGAACCAGAAGCCTTTTATAAAGCTGAGCACCACCCAGAGGGCAAGACCAGGCGATGGTTAAGGGATTTTCCGATTCTGAGCTCCTAGCATCGTTGTATCCCGAACTGGTTCCTCTTACCAGATTCTCATTCTCTGGGGAAAGATGTTCACCTTGTGCCATCTTTCTTTCTTCCTTTTATGGTTTCTTTCCCTTTTTTTTTTCAGCTGCGGTCTACTTCAGAAGAAGGAGCTGAGTTTCAGAATGAGATAGACCTGACTTCGCGTCTCAGTTCTGCTATTTATTAGTTGAGTGATTTTGCCCGGGTCATTTTAAAGTCCTGATCTGTTTCCCCACAGGATGCTCTCTGTTGTAGGCTTGTGATGAGAATCAAAGATGATGATGCGTTAGTGTAGTTTCTTGTTTATTTCGGACCTTAAAAAATGTTAGTTTCTTTCCTTGTTCAACCTTATTTAGAGCTGTTGAAATACAGCTTTTATTCCCTATAAGGTTCCATTTGAGCCTTGGACCTAAAATCGAGGGACAGGCCTGGTGTACAGACACGTACATCTCAACCAGTTGCAGAAGAAAGAGCTGTTAACAGCCTTTTTATTTCTGAGCTCGTCTTCAGTAGCAGCCTTCCTCTTGCCTGGGCTGTGGCTCGGGTGCCCTTTGCAGCCCAGCCACCTGGAAGGCTTGCTCTGTGATGCCTGACTTCAGGGCCCATCCTTCTCCTAGACTCTTGTCTCCATCCTTTGTCCCACGAGGTGTTAGCTAAAAACATAATGCCTCACAGCAGCTGGACGTTCTCGCTTAGTAGAGTATTAGCCCTTCACTCAAAAACCTGTCCTGGACACTGGGCACTGAGACCCTGGAGATGAATGAGCCTTGGCCCCATCCCAGAAACCCACAGGCCAGCACTAGTTCCAATTGTTCTAATTTGGTCATAGTGGAACCAGTTTGCCAGAGTGGGACTTTTCCACTAGAACCTCCCACAGGTCACTTCTACCAGTTCTTCTGGAATTCACCCACCTCTAGACCATTGCCGAGTCTTGCCTACAGGATAGAGGGAGGACCAGTCCATTCGGCGAACATTTGAGTACCTATCATATGTCAGCGTCAGTGCTGGATGCTGGGGATAAATGGTGACTAGAGGTAGCCCCTGCCCTCAGGTCATTTGTGGTTTTACTGCGAGACCTGCTAGTGACTAGAGAACACGCACACATCAGTGCTGGGTAAGACTGGGTGTGAGGGAGCGCAGAGAAGCGTAAGCAAGGGCTGCCCCGTGGAAGAACCGTGTGTACCACTCACCGTAGCGCCGGAGCGTGAGGTGAGGCAAGTCCGAGACAGAAGCTGGACATTTCGATGTCAGGCAAGAGATTTGAGTCTGTCCTGAGGACAGCTCAGAGCTGAGGACAGTTCTTTAAGCAAAGATTGATGGCTTGATGAGATTGGAGTTTTATGAAGCAAAGGGTCTAAATTTATTTGACCCCTGGTTCTTCAGAGTGCTCATTTTACACCCATTCCTTGTAATATTAAAGATCATGGTTTCCTCAGCTGTAAAATAGGTTAATACAGATGAATGGGAAGAGATGGTTGTCACGAGTGGATGAATCCACAGCCTTTTCCACCACCGACCGCCCTCGTGAATGCTAAATATCGACAAGGTTTCACGTGATGCCTTGGTACACAGGTTGCTATGAAACGGTTAAAATATGAGTCTTGTTTCTGAAGGGAGAGAGTGGCTGGCAAAAGCCCAAGCTATTCTACTAGAAATTATGGAAATGAGGTCTCGATATATATTCTCCTAGTCAGAAAATGAATGGGTAATATCCATCTCTTAATCTTCTCTCTGTCGAATATTAAAATAAGAGTGTTCTCTTTAGAAATAGACAGATTCATTAAACAGGTAATACCTGAGCACCTACCACGTGCCAGACCCTCTGCTGAGCCTGGGAACATCAAGACAAATCAAACGTGGTCAGCCCCTCGAGGCGTTCACAAGCTGGCGCCAAAGAGAGAGGAGCCACCAGTCATGGGAGCAGAGAGCGGGTAAGAGCCCCGCACGAACAAAGTGACGCGGGTGGAGAGAGGGAGCCTGCTCTCTGCCCGGGAAGTCAGGGCAGGCTCCCAAGTGGGGCCGTGTGAGCTGGGCATTGAAGGACGAGTAGGAGTCGGGATTGTGGAGAGAGACACTCGTAGTGCAGAACAACGCTCTACAAATAAAGGCCAGCACTCAGTTCTCTGCGCCGGGGGTGGGGAGGACATGGCCAAAGTGATCATCATTATGCACAGAAAATGCCTCGACTCAGCTTTTCGAAAACTCATTAGAAGCCACCCCCTCATCCTCCCACGTTGTTCCTAGCAGTGACTCAAAATAATTAAATTGACTAATTTGAGTCGATTTTTCTCTGACCCCAGGGAGGTGTGAATGAGCAGAATAGGTTAAGGGAGACCGAGAAAAGAAGTAGAAAGAAAAGGAGGAGGAATCCATCTCCACCATCCGAAAACACGGATTCAACGGCATAGACTGTGCCGTTGCTCCAGTGGCAAAATTCAGCTCTACAGAGAGCTGGGTCTGCTTCTTCGCAGTGAAAACTGCAAGAGCTCTTTAAAACTCTGTCCGTCTACCTTCCCCTTGGAAAAAAAAAATATATGTATGTATACTTGTGTGTATGTATATACATGGATACATGTATAGATGTGCATGCTCTATATGTGTGTGTATGGTCTACACACCCACGCACATATATATCATATAGAATACATCTTCACCCAGCACGGAGCCTGGTGCTGATACCCACCAGTCACGCGTGCTGGCTGGAAGATGGGTGACTGGCTTAGCGTGGACCTTGCAGACCTGCACACTTCCTCGGGTGTGCCCGGGAAGTCTGTGCACGTCACGGTACTGGATTCACTAGCGCGCCGAGAGATTTGGTGCTGGTTACAAAGGAGAAAACAAGCTTAGAGAGAGAGAGGAGCTTGTCCAAGCGCCCCAGCTATGAGGTAGCCAGGATCCACACACTTTCCTAATTGTCTTCCCTTGCACCGTACATGCCACGTCACCTAATCTAGGAATAGGTGACCCCTCTGGTAAGCTGATGAAGAGCATCCCTTGGATGCGGTCCTCACCTGGATCTCCAAAGTGCAGAACGGGGCAGCGCGGTGGCATCCTGTTATGGAGTCGGGGATGTGCGGATCTAGAGATCTCATCCAGAGTCTCCTCCCATGCTCCCAGGGACGGGGAACTCACTACCTCACAAGGCTGCTGGTTCCGGTTCTAGACATTGGGCACCTTGCCCTCCTTACAGAGCCATCCCTGAACCTAACCATGTCTCATTTCTACCTGGCTTCAATGTCTCAGCAAAAACTGGCTTAAAGGGCGAGCGCTTTGCTCTGATTGAAGCCGTGGTGACACAGGCAGCCTAATGACACGTCCTCATATATGAGAGAATTGCACTTGATAGTCCAGGGCTTTCATTTCTGAACTTGTCCCAAGGACAGTCCTTGAATCCTGCCGAATCCCCACATGGTCCCCCAGGATCCCAGCGTGGGGCTTACGTTAGCATCACTACCACTAGGAAGTGCCTCTGGGAGGTGAGAGACTAGACCCCTCGCCTCTTCGTGGAAGGCCAGGCCTCCGTCGGCCCCAGAGCACGCAACAGCCCATCCAGTTCATGGAGTGAAGGAGGCTCGGCCTGCACCCGCCCACCCCGGCCTGTGCTGTGAGCGCTGGTGTCCCCCGCGCCCTTGTTTTGTGCCTTTGTTCTAGTTCTCTCTAGCTTTCTTGCAGCTCTGTCTTCGCTCCTCTGGCTTGGAAAATAGGAGAATCAGCTTGGGGTGTTTGACTTAGCCCTGAGGGCGAGCCTGCCTTTCTCTGTTCTCGCCTTGTAAGCTGCCAGCCCAGCGGCTCCAGGATGGAGACTTCCCCTGAAGTAGGCAGGAAGGAATCCATTGATCATGACCAGGCTGCACACTGGCAGAGGAATTCTGCAAAATTCTTAATACCAAAAGCCAGCTTGGAAAGTGTTTCCTCTGAGGACCCCCGCTTAGCCGGTAGTGCCCC